CTGTCCAAATCGATGCTTTGATCTATAATTAATCAAATAATGTGTGGGTTTATCTCAAAAAAAAGGTGTGGGTTATGTTATGCTATCATCTTGAGAGTTGAAACTGTGTTATCCATATTCAAAAGCACATTCTCCAAGGTGTATTGCGAGGGCCATGGATTTGTTGTAATGATCTCGTTTTCTATCTATAAGCAGGTGTGCTGAAGGTCAGCAAAGGCCGGTGAATCTGGTGGTCTGTTAAAACACTGCTGAGCCCGTGCGCTGAAGCTGAAGAATTGAATGGAAAAGCTGAAGCTGAAGAACTGAAACATACTTTCTGCTGTTGGACACGGAGGAATACCTTGGAAGTTCTTTGCATGCACTTTCTTATACATCGTTCCTGATACGTTCTTGGTGCAGCGTCGTATGTTTCAGCAACCGTGTGCTGTTTTGGTGCTACAAAACAATGTGATCGAATTGCCAGAGGATAGGGGGGTTCAGTTCAATTAACCACACGGTATACAGATATAGCTGGGGTAAATCTCTCGTTCATCAATCATACAGTAGGAAAACTTGCACTGTACATTTGGTAAGCATGTAGTTGTGTACGTGCAAAACTTTAGAAATTCATGATCGTGGATATACGCGGAGCAACGAATGCATAATCTCGCACAGGTGGCTAGCATGTATTCCTTCCTCTTAGAACCATGTGTAGTTATTGTCTTTCGAGGCAAGACCATGGGTGCTTGCATTCACGTAGAACCTTTGCCCTATTGTTCTAATCTACGATCCAAATTTGTCTTAAGAAAAACAAGGCTATGTTTTCGTTTTAGAAAATCTCCAATATTTTATCCTAAAAAATCCTAAAAAATAAATCTCCAATGTTTTCACTGGCAGACACTAGGCAGGTCATTTGAGAAGCGGACATTGATAACATCGTGTCATGCTTGGAATCAAGCTCGTAGGAGTACTATCAATGTTAGCTAAGTACTGTACCAGGTAAAGAAAAGAATTACTGATTGCATTGACTGAGACGGCTAGGCCAAGGGCGAAAACCAGTTCTGCGGAGCGAACACGGTGCAGGGCCAGGGCGTGACGGCGCCAGGCGCGCCACCCATCCTCGCCTTGCACCACATCCACGTCGGCGTGCCCGTGCCGGAGCGGGCGTCGCCTCCCCGGAGGAGCCTCAACTGGACCTCGAACTCCACGGCGCCGACCTTCTCCGCCGCCGCGATGCGGCCACGCAGGTGCTCGGGCAGCCCAGCAGCGCCGTCGTCCCAGTCCCACGCCAGCCTGAACGGCACCTCGCGCGCCCCCTTCCACGGCACGCAGAAGTCGGGCGCGCGGCCCGACGCGACGGTGTAGCCGCCGTACGTCACCGCCGCCTCCCCGTGGTGGTAGCACCTCTCCGCGGCGCGGCGGTTGCCGGCGTGCAGGACGACGTCGAAGGCCCCGGGGACGGACGTCGTCGCGGCCGGAGCCCCCGCGCTGCCGTTGCTCGGGATCGGCGTCAAGCGGACGGAGAACTCGCGTGGCAGGTCGTAGGTCAAGTAGCAGTACGCCGTCCCGAACAACCAGATCAAGAGAGCGAATTCGCAGACCGTGGAGATGATGTACCTGGGGCAGTTGAGCGCCGGCCTCTTGAAGTCGCCGCGAAGGACGGGAAGATTGCGTCGACGAGGCTTCGTGGCTGGGTGCAGTATTTTTTGCTTGACCAAATTCCACAAGGATCGCCCAAGTCGGAAGAGAAGAGATGACATGTTGCCGTGTACCCGCTGCAGATATTCCCGGCCGGCCGGTAGGGAACGTGCTCCTACTACGAGGAATTTGTTGTAGTTTGGCTAGGGCAGTACGCCCATATATTAAGATCGATGTGTTTTTTTGACATCAAAGATCGATGGGTCATCTGTGGAGGTCTCAATATATAAGATCCCGATGAAGTGTGCACGTATATGGCTGGCGAACATAACCACGATGTTGTGTGAGGCTTGTGTTCCATTAGCCCACGTTCCTTTACACGGGGGATTGGGATGAGGGCATGTACAACAGTGTCTAGTCCGCTGTCTGCAATACAGGCCACATAGAAAATTAGATGACATGGGGGAGAGAGAAGAAGAAAAACGGCACAATCCGTCGGTAGAAGTAACGACAGTCTATTAGCATGAAAATCGCTGATTGCCGACAGTCTATTTCCTGTTGTACCGAGAGCATTGTTGATGGGATCCCATCTTCCACGGAAACCACCTCTCTCCTTTCCCGTGAAATTTGGTGATTAGCGACAGTCAAATAGACTCCCTGCTGTATAAGTTACGATGTCTATATCTGACATGGAGAAGTTTTACAGACACCCAACATCGGAACAATTGTACATGCCCTGAGTGAGTGATATTATTGACCTATCCACGAGGGATTGGGATGAGCAGCTGGTACACCAGACCTTCTGGCCTCCTGCAGGATCTTGTCTATATCACTCCCCGCTACATGAGATGGAGGACTTTGTGGCATGGAATCCGTCGAGAAACGGAATTTTTCAGTAAGGTCGAGATATTAAATCGAGTGGCAATTCTAATATGGGCAGAAAATCTAGCCAAGTAGCATGTCATCTACCCCTAAAAATAACTGGGAATCGCTATGAAATCTACAATGCCCGGCAAAAATCAAGATCTTTATTTGGAGAGCATTGCAAAGCGCAATCCCATGTCGCGTGATACTCACAGCAAAACTTATGAAGGTTAAAACAGGTTGCCCAACTTGCAACAGAGGACCTGAGAGTATTATGCATCTACTCTTCCAATGTAAGAAAGCGGTCCAAGTTTGGCAATTGTTGGGATTGTATGACATTATCAAAAAAGCTTGTTGTGTGAGTCGGTTTGGTGAAGTAGTGCTTGAGCACCTTTTGTGTCTTTGGGACTCGGACATCCAAATACTTGGGCTGCCTAATCTGAGGGAGACAATAGCAACTCCTGCATGGTATTTGTGGTTCGAGCGGAGGAAATTAACACATGGTGAGCAAACGCAAACTGCAACCCAAATTTAATTGGCAGTACGGCATCGAACTTTGTTATCGCATGTAAGCCCAAAACGAAGGGACAGTGATGGCTTGGTCTAAGCCCCGGTCGTGATATATGAAACTTAATGTAGATGCTGGGTTTGATCATGACAATCTGAATGGTAGGGTTGGTGTAGTTCTCCGAGATGATAATGGCAAATTTATAGCTGCAGCAAAAGAAAGATTGAATTTTTGGTATGACTCATTTACTGTTGAAGCAATTGTTGTGAGATTTGGGTTAAATTTAGCACAAACAGTGGGATGTAGCAAGATTGAGGTTGTCTCCGACAATGAAGGAGTTTTTAATGATCTGAAGGAAGGCTTCTCCAGCTCAGTGGCAAGTGCTATATTCGATGACTATTATTACATGTCGCTACACTTTAATCACGTCTTGTTTGATTCATGTATTAGAGATAGTAATTAGGTAGCCCATGAATTGGCCAAGTTGGCCAAGTTCTCTCCTCCTAGCATCTGGATGGATTCGCCTCCGGATGAGATTATACCTTTTCTTGTAAATGATACAATTGTGATTGAATAAAGGAGGAGATGATTTGTCCAAAAAAAAGCCACATTCCTTTACCCCTTCTCCTTCTATTTCTAATTTTTAATTAAATTTTGTTTATAATAGATCAATATAGAACAATGGATACAATCAGATGGGTAGTTGAACACATCGACACAAAAATAATAGAGACTATGACTACGGTTATATACCTTAAAATTCTCCTTCTATTTTCATTTTTATTCTTGCTCATGCATCCAATATGCATAGTGTCATAATCGCCAGCTCTTAATTCACCATTTGAAAGCCATTTTGGCCATTCAAACATGCAAAACAACACGTATGCTTAGTCTGTATTGATGGCTTCCACCAGTTCTACTTCACCCATGAGATCCCGTTGCCAACTGTCGCTCCTCTTGCTTGCTGTTGACCACTGCAGCCTCATGGCAGAGAATTGGTTCAGTTGTGGTGGGAGTTGGAGGCGGGACAGATAGCTTGTCCTACACCAATGGAGGTCGGGAAGAGGAGGGGTCAGCGGCAGGATGAGAGCGGCGGTGGGGGGCGAGAGCGAGCAAGAAGGAGAGGAAGAAAAAACTGAGCCGGTCCATCACCATCACTTCTTAAGAAAGTCACAACCGAGTGTTGAAAATCCGATGACACACGAGTCATTCTGCAGTTTGAAGAAAAATGTAACATTCGCCATTTAAATAGTGTTTATTATTAGTAAATGACATTTTATTAAACTCAAACAATAGCATCAAAGACATACGACACATAATGAGTGTATGAGTAACCTCTGCATGACTCTCGCATACAGTTGAAGCAAACACGTTGCTAAAAACATCATTGCATACAATTAAAAAAATCATAATTACATTCATTTTCTTGAAAACGGAGTCCGGCATCTGCATCACAGGGCCCACACAGTCAATTTATTAAACATAAATCAAGTTTAAGTCATCGAGTACTAGACAATAATACAAATAAAAAAGAGACACGATCACACAGACAGTGAAAACCCACATTACATATGATCCACATGATCTACGAATCATCAACCAAACTGATTGAATAAATCATGCACAATCGTTTCGAGCCGACTACACCCAGAGGCCATAAGCGTCTGCATCCAATACGGGCCGATATCCGAGGCCCAGTTCTTCTGAGCGAACACGGTGCATGGAACCCCGTCCGGCGGCTTCGGCCCACCCGTCGTCACCTTGCACCGCATCCACGTGGGTCTGGCCGAGCCGTCGTCGCCCCGGAACAGCCGCACATCGACCTCGAGCTCCACCGAGCCGGCACGCCGCTCCGCCGCCATCTTGTCTCTGAGCAACGTAGGCAGCTCGACGCCGTCGTCGGCCCACGCCACGACGGTCACGTCCCGTGCATCCATCGCGCCCACGCAGAAGCGCGGCGTGCGGCCCCACGCGACGGTGAGGCCGGAGTAGAGCACAGCCGCCTCGCCGTGGCGGTAGCACCTGTCCCCGGGGCGCCGGTTGACGGCATGCAGGGTGACGTTGAAGGCGGTGCTGCTGGAGACGGGGTCGGCCGGAACCGCCGTCTGGGGAGCTTCGGGACTCGTGGCGTCGGTGACCTGAAGGGAGAACTTGGGAGGCAGGCCGTTCAAGCGGAAGAACGCGCAGCCGATGGGTATCCAGAAGAAGAGGGGCATCCAGATTACAGCAACCGCTGCCTTGTTTAGATCCTCGCGAAGGGAGTAGAGATTTCGAGACTTCATGGCGCAGTTTATGCCCAAGGCTTCTCGGTGATGCATGGCCTATTTTGCCCCTGTTTTGCGAATATGTAGGCTGACCTAGCTAGATAGTCCCGCTGGAACCGTCTCCTGACCTGGTACGTCTCTCTAGTTTTTCTGTTCAAAAAACATTGTGTCTTGTGCTATTTGTGCCACGGTTGTTACCCGATCGATACGTAGACGCTAATATAATCCATGTATGCGGTTTACAAGCGAACTGCTAGTTGCACAGACATATCTGCAACTCAAATAACGGCTGGGAAAATCCAAGCCGATCGGATGCCATGGACCATCATCGCCTGACAGCTCCGCCGCCGTGTTGTCCAATGGCAACGACACCACTGTCCGGTCTCTCATGTTATAGTATTAGTACAAGATTCAGTCGAGAAACTCGTCTCCAGGTTTCCTCTTCCTTTCCTATGGAGGGACGTCCTACGCTCGGTCATAAAGAAGATGCAGTCTTCTTGAGCTCCAACGCTGCCACCGCAGACAAGGAGTGACTCAGACTCAGAGCAGCCTAGGATGACAAACAGAGCATGCCCCATCAGCGTATCCACCACCCACTGTTCAGGTCCGCTGCTTCAAAGACTTCGATCCGGGGCACAAAATGGATGGTATCCAGATCGACCTGCCGTTCCACCAGCAGCAACCGACCTCCGGACCCGACCAGGTAGAAGAAGAAGCAGATTTGTAGCTGGCAGTCGAGCAAGGGTCTCGTCTGGTGGCGTGCTTCGTATGCACTGGACGGATCGTACACCGCTCTGCTCGTCGCTGATGTCCAGAACATCGAGCTCCGGTGATCGACGGCTTTCATCATCCAGGCCGAGCATCATTACAAGAGTTGCCATCGCGCGCCTTCATCTACGGGTCTCAAATTGACACAAAAGACAGGGAGATGTGAAGTTCGGTCTGTTCAGAGGTCAATCGATTGGGATCCTTCTCAATCTCTCGTGAGTCGTGACTATATAAGCTTGTCGGCTCCAATTCCAACTCCATTTCCAGCACCGTCGCGTGTTTCGTAAGCAGACAAGCAGCTTAACTGAGAAGCGGAACAAATAAACGAGTAAAATGACACACGTGACCACCGTAAAAAAGTCATCTTTGGTTGCATACCATAAGAATCCATGCCCCGCTTGTGTTTCAGCATCACAAATCTCAACAAAACTTTCCACTCCCCAAATACAGCACAAAATGATTGTTCACGAACTTGACAAGTCACTATTGAGAATGGTATCCTGCCTGATTTACATGAACATTAAGACACCTGTTTAAGACAATTAACACTAACAGTGGCACCACAGTTGAGCATGCACAGAGTTTGTAAGAAAAATTGTAACAAAAAATTTAATGGTTTCAGAATAGCAAGGAGAGTGCAATTTTAAGAGACAACATGAGCTCCTCTAGTAAGTAGTGACTGTTCTAAACCTCTCCTTGTCAACTTCATCCAATAAAAGCGAGTTGGTCAAACACTTGTATTGTAGGAACACCATTAGATACGCTTGACTATAGAAAAGCATGATAAAGCTTAGAAGAATTGTGCGAAAAATCATTAATCATTAGAAAGGGATGTAGTGTTTTCTGTAATTAATTTTCTTTGTCCACTTAAAATAATGTGATTGTTCCTAGGACAAAACAGCCCAAGCAATAACCTGTGATTGGGCCACAAAATGGTTTTCAGAAAAATGACAAGTAGGCTCGTAATTTTGCTAACTCCTTATACTAAGTTGATTTGTATTACAAAGTTTGTACTACAGCTGCTTGTGCTTTCATATACAAAAGTCGGTGTATGTAAACAGAGCATGCAGAGGAAGAATGTGGAACCAGACGCACTAAACAAAGTGTACGGGGAAGAATGCTCTGCGAGAGTCATCCCGGTTGATCGACAGGGTTTTGTCGAGAATCCCGGCGGGGGAGATAATAACCGTATGGAGCCATATCCTAAATAAGGTGGCTAAAAAGAATTAAAAATAAGACGGGACTTTAATTTCAGAAAAGTAATAACACCAGACTAAACTGTTAACCGCATTTCTTGTAAAAGATCATACTCACCAATGTAAGTTATCTTATGGCATCGAAAGTAAACCCCTGGGAACATAAATCAATGCTTTCCAAATAACTCCCCTGTCCAATATGGTGTGTATGGAAAGGAATCTCCTACACATTGTACGTGTAACATGCCCAAGTCTTGAACTTTCAAGCTACTCAAATGATAGGCAACTACTCTTGCTCTTGATACCCACAAGAAGGCAATCTCATAATACGGATGAAATCCAAGGAAATAAATACTACCAGACACAAAGTCATATTCATCCCTATCTCTTGTCTCAAGGATACTACCATTGTTGAAGTCCCATTCACATTGCTCTTCCACGATCACTTTTTTACCATCTCCATCATAATTACCACCATGTAAGATCCACGGAACGGAATTTTCTTCGTGAGACAACCAAGAAAACATTGCCACCACTGGCACAAGGCTGGTGTCAATCTTCAACCCCCACTCCATTTTACCCCTCAATTCACTAAGTAACCAAACCTGAAGTCGGTATGATCTATCTTTATAAATTAAAGCACAGTACAGCCCCCTCTTCGATTTCCATATATAAAAATCTGTAAACTCATCCATGCTTGTAGGCGATTTAATAACTTCATACTCGCCATTCGACAAGGTTATGCTGCAAATGTGAAGTCAATTGAGAGAAAATGCATGTTAATTGATAGGGCGATGAGTTTCAGCTCAAAATGGGGAAAATCAAAACCCAATAATAAATGTCATTGTTTGCTTAAGGGGTGAATGAGTACCGCATAATGGATTCGTTTTGGCAGTGCACATAAAGCGCTCCTTTCCAATAGACGGCATAGCGATGCTCTGGTTCCCTAGCCCTAGGTGAGTGCATGTCAGCAATGGCCCCTGCGGCCTCCCCTCTCCGGACCAGCACCTCTCCTCCCATGTCCATGTCCTTGAAGTGAAGACTCGTATTGTATACCAAGAAGGCGGCCATTCTGATTCCTCCCTGAATATTGTCTCAGGACCCAGCATGTGAGGAACTTTGGGAAGAAGAAGTACCTTGTAATGGGGCGACACAGTGGGTTCGAAAGCAAGGCACATGTCGTCGGTGAAGTCATCCAACCCGGCACAGGGGGGCTGAGGCAGACGCTGTAAAATAGGGTCTAGCATATTGTACATGTACACGTATTTGTATACGTATATAATTGTATTATGATCATCTATATAAAGAAACGTGAGGCTGGATGTTAACCACCCACGCAAAACTCTGAACCTACCTCTTCAACTTGGTATCAGCCAGGTCGGGCCGCCGCCGCACGTCCCTCGCGCCGCCGCTGTCCTATCTTCCGCGTCGCCGCCGCCGCTTGCTAGCTAGCTAGCTACGCGCATACGCATGATCCATCCAGCTGCTTGCTAGCTAGCCACAGGGCCGCCGCGCGAACACTACGCGCCGCCCGATCCATCCGCCGCGCGCCGCCCTTCCGCATCGCCGCCGCCGCGAGTTTCCTCTCCGCCGCCGAGCACTGTCCTCCTCCGCGCCGCCGCGATGTTGTCCGCCGCCGTTTCGCTCTCTAACAGCGTTGGCACCATCACCTCGCCCGCGGCTGCCACCGTTCCCGCCGCCCTCACCGTTCTGGCGATCTCCGTTTTGCCTTGGCCGCCACAACTTCATGCTGTGGGAAGGCATCGCCAGCACCGTCTTAGCCGGCGCCAACCTCCATGGCTACCTGGGCGGCACCACGACGGCACCCGACAAGACCATCGCCGTTGTTGAAGGAAATATACCCTAGAGGCAATAATAAAGTTATTATTTATTTTCTTATCTCATGATAAATGTTTATTATTCATGCTAGAATTGTATTAACCGGAAACACAATACGTGTGTGAATACATAGACAAACAGAGTGTCACTAGTATGCCTCTACTTGACTAGCTCGTTGATCAAAGATGGTTATGTTTCCTAACCATAGACATGAGTTGTCATTTGATTAACGAGATCACATCATTAGGAGAATGATGTGATTGACTTGACATATTCCGTTAGCATAGCACTTGATCGTTTAGTTTGTTGCTATTGCTTTCTTCATGACTTATACATGTTCCTATGACTATGAGATTATGCAACTTCCGTTTACCGGAGGAACACTTTGTGTGCCACCAAACATCACAACATAACTGGGTGATTGTAAAGGTGCTCTACAGGTGTCTCCGAAGGTACTTGTTGGGTTGGCGTATTTCGAGATTAAGATTTGTCACTCCGATTGTCGGAGAGGTATCTCTGGGCCCTCTCGGTAATGCACATCACTTAAGCCTTGCAAGCATTGCAACTAATGAGTTAGTTGCAGGATGATGTATTACGGAACGAGTAAAGAGACTTGCCGATAACGAGATTGGACTAGGTATTGAGATACCGACGATCGAATCTCGGGCAAGTAACATACCGATGACAAAGGGAACAACGTATGTTGTTATGCGGTCTGACCGATAAAGATCTTCGTAGAATATGTGGGAGCCAATATGAGCATCCAGGTTTCGCTATTGGTTATTGACCAGAGACGTGTCTCGGTCATGTCTACATTGTTCTCGAACCTGTAGGGTCCGCGCGCTTAAGGTTTCGATGACAGTTATATTATGAGTTTATGAGTTTTGATGTACCGGAGGAGTTCGGAGTCCCGAATGAGATCGGGGACATGACGAAGAGTCTCGAAATGGTCGAGACGTAAAGATCGATATATTGGTCGACTATATTCAGACATCGGAAAGGTTCCGAGTAATTCGGATATTTTTCGGAGTACCGAAGAGTTACGGGAATACGTATTGGGCCTTATTGGGCCATACGGGAAAGAAGGAAAAGGGCCTCAAGGGTGGCCGCACCCCTCCCCTTGGTCTGGTCCGAATTGGACTAGGGAAGGGGGGCGCCCCCTTCCTTCCTTCTCTTTTTCCCTTCCTCTTTTCCTATTTCATATGGGAGGTGGAA